CTATTTTTTTATCGATCAATATTTATTATCTCAATATCTCTCTTTCTCTCATTTTACTTTCTTAATAAATTTTTTTCAGGCATACAAAAAATTACTCATGAAGTCGCACTACTCACTCACATACATGCTTTCTTTTGCTACTGTAAAATTAAGTATTGAAAATCCTAAATATATACACTTATTTTTTTTTTTTTAATATTTTAATAAGTAGAATGTTAGTTTATAGTAGTACTTTTAATTATTTAGCAAAAAGTTCACGTTCTAGTTATTTTCATCTTAAGTTAAGATTAAAAAAATTTTTTTTAGAATATAAAGCTTTTTTTTATCTACTTAATTTTTAAGTTTTTTATTTTAATAAAATATTTTAGTTGAAATATAATTTAGTTCATTCAAATTGAATGTTATTTAATAGTTATTAAGTGATATTTTACTAAAGCGTAAGTAAAAGTAAATCTTTATACTTATTGTCGAAATTTCAACAATATTTTTAATAAATTTTTTAGATTAATATAATTTTAAAAAAATAATAAAGTAGGAAGAAATTATTTAATGAAAAAGAAGAAATAAAAGTAAATTAAAACACACACGCATTTTAAATTCTATTTACGGATAAAACATACTCAGTACATTTGTACTATTGTTAATTAAAAGTTTATTCAACACTTCTCGACTGGGTTGAGTGTTTTACCGTGTTTTGTAAATGTTTGTAATTAAATTACTTGACGCGCTTAAAGAAAAATTGACAATTTCTAACTTTTAGTACAATTTCAACGTTCTGTACATCACTAATTTTCGTTATTTTTTACTTATCACTTTCTTATGATATTTTTAATCAATAATTTCTATTTTATTTTAATTAACGCCAAGCGGCAATACAAAATATAGAATATTAAATTTATCAAATAAATTTAATCAAGTGATTTTACATTAAATGATGGTAAAGGGAGCAGATAAAAATGAAAAATTCTAAAATTTTAAGATATAATTGCAAGTACTAAGGGGTTCCATGATTCTTGATCCTTTGACAAAATATCACCAAAATAAATATCCCCGGACAAAATATCTTAAATAATTAAATTTTTCAATAAAACAATTCAAAACAATAAATTTAAAAAAAATTATCAATTTTATTTTAACACATTAATGGCATTTCAACAAATTTTCGTAGCACAACTTTTTACCGTATTTTGCCCTTTTATCATGGATTTTGTGTGATATTTAGGCTCGGGGGTATTTTTTTTTGAGAAATTTTGTCGGAGGATCAAGACCCCTGATACCGTACACGAAAAAAATTAACTGTAATATTCACTCGGATTCCGATTAATTTTTATAGTTTCAAACAGTAAACCGGATATCGGGGTGGCAAAAATATAAATATTACAGAACTTAATGTAGAAAGTATAAAAGCCAAAATTTATAATTTAATATCCAAAATTAGTGATTAGTAGCTTGGTTGCCCAATTTTAAAACACAATAACTACAAAATTTTTATACCTAATTTATTTTAACATTGCTGCATTTTTTATAACTTTTAGACCTTAATTTCACGTATTTTTTCTTAAAAATATTTATGGGTGATTCTCTGTAAGGACGTCTTAAATCTGTACAAAATTGTCCGACCAAATTATTTTTGATTTTATTAGAAAAAAAATTAACAAGGGCTACAAAACTATTAGCTTAATTATAATAAATAAACAGCCGAATTAATTTTTGATTTTTCGATATTTGTGTATCTTTTGCCATATAACATGACAGGGGACTGATTTTTTTTATCAAATTGAGAAAAATCAAGCAAACTATTTCAATGCATTCAACTTTTTAAGTTCTCAATGAATGTTTACATTAATTAAAATAATATTAAGACTTATGGATCCAATTTCATAAATAAATTATGAACAAAAATAGCTGCCAGGGGACTGAGTTTTTAAGTGGCCCAGACACATATTTCCAGCACAAACGGTGATTTGATACTAAATAAAATGCCGATAAAGCACTAACAGTCCTATGGTTATTAACTTGAGGTTAGTTAGATCCTCATAAACTTTACAAAAGGTAAAATAACACGCTAGATTTTTTTTTTTTCGGCTTTGAACTTTTGAAAGGGGATTGATATCAAATGCCTGGGACAAGCTTTGATTTAATGAATTCAATGAAACAAATTAACTTTCGGTACTTTTTATTGAAGAAGATTGTTAGTTAACTAATTAAGTTCATAAACATTATGGACCAAATTATTTATTATTGACGAATAACTTAAAATTTAATCTTAAAGTTTTAATTTTGGGACTGGGACAGCCCAGGGGACTGACATTTCGGTGGTTTACGAATTTATAGCAAAAAAACTAAAATTTATTCCATTTTAGTTTTCAATGCTCCAAATAGAAATGTTTTTTTACTTTCGTAATAAATTTTTTTTAGTTAAAAAATAACAATTTTTCTAATAAAAAAATGCCCGGAACAGCAAAAAACATCTTTACCGAGAATCACCCTTATATTAAAGTATTTTCTATTCATAAATCAAATTTTTTATCAATTCGGCAGACAAACGTTTTTTTAATCAGAAAAATTAAAAAAAATTTCCAAATCCACAGATTCGGTAGAATCTGGCGCCAAGTTCCGTTCAAATCCGTTGTCAACGGAGCGCCAGACTACCGACTGTGTTTACTATAAGCAGAACGGTATTTTGAGGTTGCAAAATTTTATTTAATTCTACGGTACTTTTTTTTCCTAAATTGTATATTATAACAGTAATTCATACTTTATTTTACTGTTATTAATTAATTATATTCACTTATAACAATTAATCTACTTGAAATTACTAAATTTAATCAGCACAAACTATAGCAACGCAAAAATTTCGATCCTGACTTTTTTTCGATGGGCAAAGTGATCTGCCACAGACTAAAATATTCGAGAATGCATAGTAATCCTTCATCAGATGGGAAACTACAGTTAAAAAAAAATATTTCACTGCTTGCATCTACACCCGCCAGGGTGCGCTGAAATTATTTTTACATAAACTGTAGCTGCAAGGGAAATGGTTTTTTTAATTTTTAAATTTACAGCAAAATTTTTTTTAATTTCCGAAAATCATAAACAATCATATCGGTTACTTGGATTTTTTTATTTTATATCTTTTTGTAAAGAAAAAAACTAATTTTTTTTTCTTAATAGTCTTATGAACGTGGACTTGGCGCGATTTTTTTACAGTGAAACTGTTTTTGTTCGGTGTTAGTTACTGTTTTAAAATTGGGCAGCCGCAGCTGTCACTATAGTAAATAACGACTCTTTCATCTTAGAAAATTACAGTTTCAAACAGTAAAAATTGCCATTTCAATATATATAGTCCATATTATAAGGAGAAGGGGAACTCAGATAAAAGAGAAAGGGGTCTCACTCTAGGAGAATTTAAACATTTGAAACAGTAAAAATTATACTTTTAAAATATACATTTTACCAGCCCAAGCAAGTCAATAATTACAGTTTGATTTTTAGCGTTGCGTTTAAAATTTACCATTTTACTTTGTAAATATTGACGTTGCTTGTATTAGAAATTTACTAACTTTATTTTATACTTTTTACATATCATAAGATCATTTTTTAGCTACGAAATGATAAATATCAAAGTCTGAATTCTCAATTATTATACTTAAACATTTTAGACATTTACATAGCGAATATTACTGTTTGAAATAGTATTTTCTTCCATGTAAAGAGTAAATTGTAACGTTTAAATGGTAAATATTATAAAGTGAATAGTAAAATCACGATTTTACTGTTTGAAATGGTAATTTTTAGCAGTTGATTATTATACTTATTAGAAATCGACTGTTATTTATTACAGTTTACTTTTTTCCGTGTACTAGGCGGAGAAATAGCAGAATATTTCTCTACTGAAATAATTTTTCTTACACTTATGTTATGATCTACTTAAATATAAGCCATTTTGTCAACATGATGTATCAGAACAGATATTATTGTCTCTGCAAAAACACCTCAGTTGGATTCCAAGGTCAATGTCGGCGTTTTTTTATTATATTGTCTTGTAATTCTTTTTTTTATAAAAGGTAGGCGATATATTTTACGCGTAAATACAAAAAAAACTCACCGAAATTTTTATAAAAAAATTAAAAATGATATTTAAAAGATGAAATAAAATAAAAATATAATAAATAATAAATTACACTGATCAAAATAGAGTAAACTTGCCAAAGTTTTTTTTTTACCCACTGAAAGATAAACAAAAAAGTACATCTTTCCAATATAATATAATATATAACTTTTCTCATTATTTCTATCAGTAGAGGAACTTGGAAATCTTATTTAATGCGCTTCTGAATAAATTTTAGAATAATTATTTGTTGAAAAATAAAATTAATAAAAGAAGAAATATATACTTTTTTTTTTTTATTTAATTATACTGATTAAATTGACGATAGTATTGATCGATTAGAATAATTTCGCACTGATAAAAAGCAAATGTTAAATCGATTGAATATGCTACGGCAATAAAAGCAGCCAAGTGTAATGTAACATTAATTTAAAAGCTATTTTGAAAGCGAAAATAGTTTTAGTTTACATTGCTTGCAAGTAAAATTGCAATTTTAAATTAAAAAGAAGAAGAAAAAACACGCAAGTAGGAATATCTTTCCTTTAATGTCACTCATATTAACTTTAGCAAGTTTAAACTAAACAACTTTAAACCAGTGCGAATGTTGACGGGTAGGAACTGATCAGTGTAATCCTAAGGGAAGAAACTAGCTGGTTTCTGTCAGGTGTTCTAGTTTCTGACTTCATTTCAGTTTCTCAGAATTGCAGTTGTTTATTATAAACCTTAGTATCATATTGGATAATTATGCAAAGAAGGCTCTGGTGTGTAAAGTTTTTTTTTTTATCTCTTGTAACCGAAAGTTAAAATTTTTTAATCACTTGTGAGACAATGGTAAGGATTAAAAATTTGGGAAGAAATAAATATTTTCAAATATTTTTGAAAGAAAAAGATGAATTGTATTTTTGGTTTAATTTATTCAGGAAGAAGAGCACGTCGTGGCCGGCCACGGCTTGGTACAAAAAGTGGAAGACACTTAGCTTCAACTCATGGAGGTTCGCCATCAAGAAATGATTGGTTACCTGGTCCATTGGACATGAGCACAACGCCACCAACAATGCCAGCATTTCGGGGATTTGAAGAGTCATCACCTGACGGCGTGGTGAGTTATTCCGGGGGGCTTTATTGACAGAGTTGCTTAATTTTCATACTGATAATAGTTGTTCTAAATGAAGAGTTGAGTTTCAAAGGATATCTTTTCATTTTTGATTAATCGAGACAAAAAACTGGACAAAAACAAAAATTGAATATAAATAAATTAAATTTAGGTATATTAAATTATGATTTTTGTTAAATTGCACTGGACTTTCTTAACTATTGCCATTTTTAAAGATATAAGCTCATTTCGATGTTACACTCATCAAGAGCTTTCATTTGAGTACCCACATGCATTTTCATATATACATATATATGATATATATAAATATATGAAAAATTGATGTGGGTACTCAAATAAAAGGTCTTGATGAGTCTAATGTCGGGGTGAGCTTATATCTTTAAAAATGTCAATAGTTTACAAGATACAAGGTCATTTCTTAATGATCTATTTAAATAGATAAAGATATCCTTTTGAAAAACAGCCCCTCAAATATTAAACCTAATCTATTTCCAATTTTTGACTTCTGTACAAAGTAAATATAATTTTGATTCTTTTAAAAATTTTCTTAAATAAACAATATTAATGTGAAGAAATTATTTATTTTTATGAAGATATATTTGAGAAGCAAAGAGGCCTGCAACTGAAAGCTATTAAATCCAGATCTCAGTAATAGAGCCTTACATCTGCTAAAAATTTTCTTTCTATCTCAATTTTTACTTACTCAAGTAAATTTAAAAAATATTGTAATGAATTGATTTAATTTTTGGAAGCTATAAAAATTTTTTTCTGTAATTTTAATGATTTTATTAAAATTAAATTTTTTTTTTTTTAAGAATAAATCCAACAAGTATAATATAAATTACGTTTAAAGAAATGTTTTACTTTAATAAGTCTCTAATAAAAGTAGGTCAAGTGGGGTAGAAAAAAAGAGTGCCTACTTTTGCCGTTAAATAAATCAATTAAGAGTTAAATTTACTCTAATAAATATTTCAAGCTACGCAAAACAGATTTCAGAACTTGACGTTGTAATTTTTTGTGCTTGACAGCTATTATTTCATTTCAATTTACTTTATTTATTTTTTGTAAACAAAATTCTTGATACCTTGCATCCAAATAATTATTCTGGAGCTCACATCAACCTTGATTGTACCAGACCAGCATTTTGTAATTTGAGTTGCTTGAAACAGTGACGAGCTGGATAAAATAAAATAAAAACAAATTAACTTGAAACTTTTTCCGCTTGCAAAGTAAAGTATAATTGCAATTATAAATAAAATTACTACAAACAAAAGTAACTTCCAAAGCTCTATTATTTAAGTGGAATTTTAAAAATGCAAATAAATACGATAAATTAAAAAGTTATGACCAGATGCTATTTATCTTGGAAAAATGTCTGGATTACAATTTGGACATGAAAAATGATCCAATTGTCAAGTGTATATTTTTGAGCGAACTGGCACTGTAAGCTAGTCATATAATATCTATGAAAAGAGGATTTTAACATATGTAACAGACGGGATATTTCTGCTATCTGTTACAGGTGCACTTGGGCGAAGGGATTGCAGTTTGTGAAGAGCAGCTAAAGGCAGTCAAGTGGAGCGACTATAGAAAACTAACCCGAGGACTCGCAGCAATACTTTTTAGTCCTACTGAACTTGCTACGTGTTCTGTTACTGGACAAAGATGGAGTCGAGCTGGAACAGCTACTGAACGACCAGTAAAACCTGCGCTTGATCGAGCAAAAGTACAGGCTATTATATGTAAGTATATTATTATAATTTATTCTAATAAAAATTTGTAATTTTTCTTCCATAGAAAAATTAAAATTTTTCGATAAAAAAAATCTTTAAATGATCATTGGATAATTTTTTATAAAATCACTCATTCATTAGGTAATTTCTAAACGACCACGTGCTAATTTAGGTTGCATTCAAAAATACCCCATCTCTAGATAGATAATTAAGAAATGACCTTGTATCTCATGAACTATTGACATTTTTAAAGATATAAGCTCATCCCGATGTTACACTCATCGAGACCTTTCATTTGAGTACCCACATCAATTTTTCATATATTTGTATATTTTATATATATGTATATATGAAAAATATATCAAAATGCATGTGAGTACTCAAATGAAAGCTCTTGATGAGTGTAACATCAGGATGAGCTTATATCTTTGAAAACGTCAATATTTAAGAAAGTACAGTGCAATTTAAGAAATTACCCATTATTTTGTGAATTATTGACATTTTTAAAGAGATAAGCTCATCCCGTTGTTACACTCATCAAAACCTTTCATTTTTCATATATTTATATATATTATATATACAGTCGAACCTGGATAAGCGAGAACTGGATAAGTGAGAAAACTCTATAAGTGAGAGTAATAGCCAGGACCCGTCATTTTAAGCTCCCAAAACCTCTATTAGCGAGAAACAGAAACCTCTGTAAGAGAGAGTCGTTTTTCTCTCATGGACCTCCGTAAGTGAGACTGCTGCTTAACTATACCTCTATAAGCGACATTCGAGCTTTATTTCTTTATATTATTAAGGAGAAACTACAGCTACAATAAAAATACATACATACATAAAAGATACACATATACACACATCCAATGAAGCTAGCTTTAAATTCGTTGGAGACGGTCCATCAGTACTTTTAATACGCGGCGGTTGTTAATCAAGCAATATTCGACAAAATTTACGAGTTAGAGAAAAACATTCAAAATACAAAAACAGAAACCCAAACGAAATTGACGGATTTTTTTAAGTGTAAATAAGTTCTAAATAAAATAAAATTATATAGTGCATGAATTTTTGTTTTGTTTTCGTAAGCATCTTGATACCTACTCTTTTAAAGTACTTATATGTCGAATGTGACTTGTTATTGCTGCGTACCTCTATAAGAGAGAAACGCTACCCATATACCTGCATTAGCGAGAAACTCGGGTTAGTGAGAAAACTCTATAAGCGAGAATGAGATTGTGCTCCCTTGAACTCTTGCTTATCCAGGTTCGACTGTATGTATATATGAAAAATATATAAAAATGCATGTGAGTACTCAAATGAAAGCTCTTGATGAGTGTAACATTCGGATGAGCTTATATTTTTTAAAACATCAATATTTAAAAAAAAGTATACAGTGCAATTTAAGAAATTACTCATTATTTTGTGAACGATTGTCATTTTTAAAGATACAAGCTAATCCCGACGTTACACTCATCAAGACCTTTCATTTAAGTACCCACATCAATTTTTCATATATTTATATATATTACTAGCCGTTTCCCGCCCGCTTCGCTGGACGAATTGAAAACGGAAATAAATTAAATTTCATGTTTCATTTATATTTTTTTTTTTCATATTTTTATTATTCTCCTTTTTTTTTATTTTTGTATGAACATAAATATGCCCCGCGGATAGAACTGTAAGCATCGATATTGTTTAGACTTGCACAAATCGCAAATTTCATCGAATTAGCCTTTATCTTTCATCCATGTGATTTTTCTAGCTTATATTCATTGTAACTTTCAATGTGCAATTATTTTAACATTTCCGTGGCTTTCTTCCAATAATTAATAGTAATTGACACGAAGAAAAAAATTTGAAATGAGCATTAAAAGTTTTAGTTAAAGTCATTGCAAGTTTCATATGTGAAGTTGAAATCTGCCTAGGTTCAAGTGTGACGAATTTTCTGTTATCTAAAATTTATTCCGTGACATCAATTTTTTATAGAAAATTAATTGTTCATGTTTTTTTATGAATTCTATTGAAATAAGTAACTAAATTTCTTTTCCACATCTCAAGTGCTTAGAAAATGCATTCATTTTAATCTGTTACATTTCCGCGATCCCGCACTAAAAGAATTCATCGGTTATGTGATCTGCAAAAAGAAAATGAATGTAAAATTCTTAGTCCGTTGATTGGATAGCTACATGTAAAGTTAAGTTTTGCATACCTCTTAATGACTTTTTCTCCGCTGCCAAAGAGACGATTGTTGTAAGGAAATACACGAATATCTCCAACAAATTTGAAGTCTGTGAAAGTTACAGGTTGGAAATTAAAATTTTAGATTTTAACACTCACCCCCGCAATTCCTGTCAGAAGGAGACTTTATTGAAATCCATTTTGAGATGATCTTTGCATGAATAATAAAAGATTCCTACCATATTTAGAATTTTTAGAAGCTATATTTCGAAATTACAATTTTTTATTGTTAACACCCACCCCCGCAAACCTTATTGGAGGTGATTCATTGTAAAATCCGCTCTTAGATCATTTTCATATTACATATAGAAGACTCTTACTAAATTTGGAGTCTATAGGAGCTATGGCTTGGAAATTGAAAATTTTCATTGTTAACGCCCCCGTGATCGTCTTTGCGGTGGGATATCGTAAAATTCGTTCATAAATCATTTTACATCACTTATAGAAAATTCCTACAAAGTTTGGAGCCCGTAGGAGCTTTAGCTGGAAAGTTAAAAATTTTAATTGTTAATACCCACCTCCGCAACCCCCTGTGGGGTGAGCTATCGTAAAATTCGTTCATAGACTATTTCTACACCTCTTACAGAAGATTCCTACCAAATTTGAAGTCTATAGGAGCTATAGTTTAAAAACGGGAACTGTTCATTGTTAACGCCTCCGCAATCCCCTTTAGAGGATGAATTTCTTAAAGTCCATTCTTAGCTGACCTCTACATAGCAAAAGTAATATTCCTACCAAGTTTCACATTTCTAAGTCCTATGGTTCCCGAGATTTCGTGATGAGTGACTACATAGATGGGAATCCTTCGATTATCATCGAAATTTTTAACATTTTAGCGGACTTTTTTAAAATTTTCTTACATACAAAACTTTCTTCTGACAATTCTGAAGATAAAAAAAAAAGCCCAATTGGTCCAGCAGTTCTGAATGTAAAAAACCATAATCCGTTTAATATACTCTGTTGAAATCCATGAAAACAAAAGAATC